TGAGAAGGAGGAAATCTCACCTCCCTTTGTCCCCATATAATGGTGACCCTGCAAGAGTAAGTCGTGGCTTCCAAGACGTGAATGAGACTGTGTGTAGAACAGATGTCATTATCCCCAAACCCAAATTTCATCATACAAACGTTACATATGTTCTTTGCATTTGAGTGCTTTATTATATTGGAATTGCAGTGATATTATTAACATTTGTACAAATGCACAAAATCTTGTCTCTTCTTGCTAGAAAGAGATGTAAAAATCTGACCTAGTCGAACAGTCTTAATGAACTCATTGTCCGAGTAACAATAATGTATTCACGATGCAACAAAAAGCTTAACATAAAATTAAACATATTAAATGCTGCAGCAAATATTTACAGGTATGTACCCCATTTTTTTTCTCCTTCCAGTAAGGAAGGTGGTTGCTTTACAAATAGACAAACACAAATGCTTTGCTGTTTACAATTACAAACAACCCCCCAGTCCAGAACTTAAAGTGACAGCACCTTTTTTGGGACTTCCGTAGTTATCACTTACTTTGTACAATGCTAAACTTTTTCATTTTAGTTCTATTTTTGGACAATATTTATATTCCAGTTGTCCTGGAATAGTCTGTTTGAATTGAGCCATTTTTTTTTCTGGACTTTCCAGAAGATCCCAAAACTCATGTCCTCTCCAAGGAGAACATTTCAAGCTTATCTTTTCTCCAAGACAAACCTCAAAGGCAGAACTCCTCTCTGTATGAGGCAGGTGTGATTTAGCAGAAGGTAGAAGGAAAGAGGGTAAGTTGGGCTTCTTTTTCATTGGCTGGCTAGTTGGGAAGGGTCCTTTCTCTGAAACCCCCTCTGCTTCAGCACTGCTGATACCTTTCATTATCTCTATAGCATTGGTATTCTAAAGGAGCAAACTAGAGTCTAGTTAGCTTATTGTGCATAAGATTTTAATGACGTTTTTAAAGCTACTTTATTCGGGTTCCACATTCTCAGTCTTCAGACTAACATGATTCTGTTAAAAAAATCTATAAAATTATTTAATATGAAACTCAGTGTAGGAAAATCTTAAATGGCTTGAGAGCTTTCTCAATCCTGACTTTTAATGAGCTAGATATTGTAAGTTGGTCTAAATATAATAGTAACTATTGATCCCCCTCCGATGACAAGCTTGGAAAGGTATCAGAGTGCCACTTAATATTAATCTTTTAGCAAATGCTGGCAATTTGGCCTTACTCCCCTCTCCAACTTGTGGTTAAATAGTCTTTTTTTAAAAATAGACAATTTATAAGGAAAAAAATATATAAACACTCTTTAAGCAATTTGGCTATAAGCATTACATCACTGAAAAACTCCACGAGAAATAGTAAAATATTTTGAATGGACATAACACTTTTTCGTTTTCACAACGCGATGAGCTAAGGTGTTTTTTTTTTTTTTCCTTTTTGTTTCTTTGTTTCAGTATTGGATTTTACTTGTAAGTTTATTGCTTCAGTGTCTTCTTATCCTTTCTTAGATTATAATGGTAAAACACAGGTGCTGTCCCTCATTACGTTACAAGGCAACATTGTATTTTTGAGATCTAGGAATGAAATAGGTAGGGCCGCTGTTATTTCAGCAGCCTCAGAGAGACCATGGCTAGGACGACAGTCCAAAGTGCACCATGATGCACAAAAGAATAAGTCTCCTGGCTCATTCAGGACACTTTGGTTTGGAGAATGAGATAGAAAATTCTTAAGTGTAGCTTAGCTGCTGCCTCGCATCTGTTGCATAATATAACATTTTCAAAAAACATGCTATGAATAAAGGGATAAAGAGTATGAACTGGCTCTTCTTGGCATTCTCGTAGCAGGCTTCATCCAGGCTGATGTGAGAATCACGTCTTTGCTATGCTACTAATGAACGCGCGAAAATGTATCTGGTGCAAATATTCCGTAAAGTATTTTAAATGATGCAGCTCAGAGCCTTGGAGGAAGGGTGGGGGTGTTGGAGATGGAAGAGCGAAGGCAAGTTTGAGGACAGGGAGGAGGTTGGAAAGAGAATAAGAGAAAGGGTTCAAAAAAGCTAAAGTGCAATTTTAAAATATAAATTATTTTAAGCAGAAGAGAGGTTCTAAATTGCTACTGTTCGCATAGGCACAGTTTTATTCAAATTTAAATGGGTTATTTCCTTTTCCTTCTCAGATATACTGCATAATGGAGCTTGAATGGCTTAAAGCTACTGCACATTGTTTGAGAAGGGACAAAAAGCGCACTAAGGAAGCTGAATAGTGCAAGGCATTCTAGGAAACTGGGGTGGAGTGGAGAGAAGCAGAGATGAAGTTGTTTTTACACTTTTACAAGAAAGCTGTTCCAGTTATAGTTACCGATTCCCTTTAGCTGAACTCTGCTTCCTAAAGGAAAGAGCTTACTTTTAAACACGAAAAAAGAAATCCATGTTTTTAAAAAACTGTTAAGAACACAAATTAAAAAATAACTCACAGAGCATTAAAATCCTTGGAATTTCTATGCACAGAGATCTAAGCAAACATTTCCATCAAATGATGGAGAACAGCCATCTGAAACCCTGAAAAATGAAGATACACACAACTAGAGTAGTTTATTATGAACTAATACTTTAAAAACAAGTCGATCCTACAGAAGAATACTGTTCAAATGGAATGTTTAAAAATAACATTTATTAATAAATATCTTATAAAATTCTAAATTAATAGATTCCTGTTCAGTTTTGCTTTGGTCCTTGAATTCCACTGTATACACACATACATACATATATTTCCTTAGATGGTGTCTATTAACTGCTCTAACTGAATGGCTAGTTTTATAGCAGTTACTGATGCTTAACTCCCCCTACCCCCACCCAGCCAAAATCTGGTCTTTTATCAAGATTTTAATGACGAACTCAACTAACATACTAAAACGGACTTAACTAACAGGCAACAACTACCTGACATTCACCCCTGACGCCCCTCTGTTCAGAACACGCGCTGCATCTGATTTCATTGACCAGATGGGCTCCAAGGAGCATTTGCTCTGAGTAAGTCATCCTCGTTATAACAACGCGCGTAGTGACAGCACCCACTGCTCGTCTCCCACAGGCTGTGATAGGACTGCGACTCGCCTACATTGATGCGGAGGTAGGAGAGGGATGAGTGGCAGTGTGAAGGAAAGACATCCGGCCTCACGCCTGGCTTTAAAACGAGTATTCATCCACAGCTAGAATTTCCACTATACCTGTCCCGGCCTATGTTGAGAAATGTCTTAAGGAGAAACAATTAAGATGTGGATGCTTCAATTTAGGTGAAGATTCACCTGGTAGGTAGAAACAGGTAGGGCCTTTGTGGAACTTGGTATACCTAAAACAAGGAAGGCTGATTATTCCATGGTCTGGAGGAGGCTGAAACTTCAAGGGAAATGCTTAAGCTGAGTATTGGATCTGACCAATAAACCTTTCTGTTTGGGATTTCAAGAAGCTCTGATAACCAGCTGGCATCTTCCGTTTACTGTATTTCCACACTGCTAATGAATATACCTAAAGGCCCTGAGTATAACAAGAAGACAGTTTATTCTAATTATATGTTGAGGCCCGTTTGCTAACGTGTGTGGTTGGTTTGCCTACTTAGCATGAAAAACAGACATAATTGAGCTATATATAATGCACATCAGTCAAACTGTCAAGTTGCTGAATTAGGAAAACTCAGGCAAGTTCTTAACTGCACAGGCTTTTGGTTTAACAACTAAATATTTCAATCGAGAGGTGGAACAGCAGTAAAGTAAACCATAATTTTAGTGACGACCCACTCCCTGGACATTCTGGTATTACCAGTGGATTTTCAAAAAATCCATTTCATTAAGTGCTATGCATGCAGTAAAGAAAGAAACATTTTTTGTTTACTTAAAGCAAAATATAAAAATTGAAAAAATCCAAACGAACAAACATTTCAATGAGGTTTTTTTTTTTTTTTCCTTTTTAGGGGACATATAGTTCTAGGCAGGAGTTGTGAAAAAATTATTTTTCATTTCAAAATAGAGATAAGAATGTTAATTTCTCTTTTTTAGCTAAATCTTAAACATTTCTTAGGAAGCCAGTTAGGTTGAACCATTCAGCTGTTACTGCTGGGATTCAAAACAAAACAACTATGAATTCGGTATTTAAAATACTTAAAAATGATATGTTTGTCTAAAATATAATAGAAAATCCTTTCGTTTGCATTTTTTTCTGCTTTATTTCTTTTTCTTTTTTTTTTTTTTTGCTTTTACATTTAACTTTTAGGCCATATATCCAAGTCATGAGTTTCACTAGATACTCAAAACTTTCTTTTGAAAGCACTGCATACTTGAAAAGATTGTTGATAAATATTGATTTAAAATGTAAGTTAATAGATAAAACTGAAACTAGTTATAAAAATCATGCTTCACGACCCTCATATTTTTTTTCTCCAAAATAGATTCTTACACTACAGTGAGAAAAAAAACCCCACAACCTTCCCTTTTCTGAACTCTTATAAAAGCTACACCTTTTGTAAAATACTATTCTTTTAAATCCCATTCACACACACACACACACACACACACACACACACACACACACACACTCTCTCTCATGTTAGGAGGTCAAGCATTCAAATGGAGATGAAACACCAGCACCTGTCTACACTGCTAGAGAGAAACATTAGCCCCTGTTATTTGTGAGATGTGATATTAAAACATTAGCACAGTAGAATGGCTTGTTTCAAGGAGGCACAACTGTGTTTCTGAACTATCTGCTTTTTATATTGGGTAAGTCCACAAAAGTCGTTGAAAATGTAAATCAGAATTATTCAGAAGAGTGGAGTAGCCATATTCAGGGGCTCCTTTCAGCGGCCACAGAGTCCTCTAGCTGCAGTGGGAGGGCTGAAGGCACCCCGAGGGAACATTAGGGTTCCTTTCTGTCCTTGTTCCTCCAGTAGTTCATCTACTTTCACCCACCAGAACAGCAAAGCTGGTTCCATAGGCTTAAGAAAAAAATAATAATAACGATAAATCTTAGGCTATTAGCAGCTGATGATCGAACAATGTAATTTGTGTAGTGAATAGAGCCCTTCTGAATTATTATATAGTACATGGATTTTCGACATTATAGACAGGCCATATAAAACCAGTTGTAATTCGAGGGTGTGATGTTATAGCCTCGCATCACGATTTGGACTTTCAGGATCGAGGCTTACAAAGCTCCCTACTCTTGTGTCTCCACAGCTGGACTTCAACAGTGCTTTACCTATAGCTCAGCCACCTTTCATTTGCTCTGAGTATAAAAAAAACATTAAATCAGGCACATTAAACATCTCCTGGTTACTATTTAGTAAAAAAGCAAGAATTGAATGAACTCCAGCTGTGGGTCAAGGGCGAAAGGAGGAATGGCTAGGTCCACATTTCTGAGGTTTGACTTTTTTTCTTCTTTAAACATTATTTCCTTCTTTACATGCAACGCGAAAGGGGAAAAAAATAAAACAGAAGAAAGTAAAAATAAGAGTAAACAGGGAGCCCAGGAAAGGGTGGAAATGGAGAGGAAAACTGGGCATTCAAGGAAGCGAACCGATGCAGGAGAGGTGGTGAGATGCTCGGTGTTCGTATTTGGATATTAATGGATATAATTTTTCATAGTAAGAGAAAAAAGTTGCGGAAAAGGCTCTGTGTTTATCTGGGATTCTGATGACATCACAGCACAAGCTCAATATGTGTTTTGATGTCATCAGACTTCTCACCCCAGTTACCTTGCATCTGTTGACATCTAGGTATGCCTCCTTTTGGCTAAAAGCCACAGTTTAATAAGATTCAATGTCTTAGGCAAAGGGTTGATAAGAATGAAACCATGACTATATACAGAAAGAGTTCAGTTTAAAAACAGGAACTGGTACCAGAAAATTGGAGAAAAGCACCAAAGCACTTCCCAAGCTGATAGATATTAATTGCATAACTCCCTTTTTCCTTATATAACTAAGTATAAAAGACAACATTTCCATAATAACGATACAAATGAAAGCCAGTCTTTGAAGAACTGAGGAGTCTTCCAGGTCTGAGTTAATTCTAAAAAAATGCCCTTAAAAGAAAGGACGTATGGTATGCGGCAGCTCTTCTTGGAGGCAGGGTCTGACCCTTGATTTTTAAAGAATTGGATTCAGGTCTGTTCTGTGAGTGGTGAGCTGGCTGAGGGTGGAGCTTCCTACGACCTCACTGACTGCCGAGGAAGTGGTGATGGTGTTATGCTGGATGACCTGCTGCTGAGAGCAAGCGGGGACCGGGCTCGCCGCTGGGCTACTCTCTGGACCTAGGAAAAAACACACACACACACACACCGATATAGCGCTTTCTCGGGGAGGCTCGTGGACCGCACAGAAAAGCGTTACTAGACGTTTACTAGGAATAGAAGAGTTTCACACATTTTCCTCCTAGGGGTTAATTTCAAAACTTTAAACTGTAGTCATAAAGCTATGCCTTCTCAGTTGATAGCTACAAGCCAAGCCATGCTTTCTATATCAGCAAAATGACGTGGATGTGTTTGAGTCTTGGTATGTGAACTTCCCCATCTTGTATTTTCAAATAGCCATCCATATATCAAATGTGGAAACATACTCACATGTGGTGGGAGAATCTGTGTTGCTCAATCTAAAAAATTATTTGAAAATAAATTGACCTTCAGCCATGAATCCCGGCTCCTCCCACCAACCCCTACTCAACTAGCGTTCAACCAACCGATCGACATTCCAGGTGCAGAAACTGGGGTCTAGAAAATGGGATCCACTTTACGTATTAATAAACTGAAACAAGGTCTTTAGCTTTTCAGCCCAACGAATAACATGCAGCATATCCCGAGGCATTGGATGTCATTCCCAGCCTGTGGATTCCTCTGGAAGACTGCTAGCCCACTGGTAATTGGGCTCCAGCAGGCTATTTCCCTACTGGCTACACAATTGGAATTTGGTAGAATTTTACAATGTGAAATGCCAGGGAAAGTTTAGCAGAAATTATCAGGTGGTAGTGGGCATGGTGATGGATAGGGGTCAAAAAAATAAGGATTCTCCCTGGTGGGATAGTCTGGCAGGCATCTAGAATTCTAGAATGATATCTGCCTGGATGTGAATCTACACCTTGCTTTTGCTCTTTCAATAAAATCCAATGCAAAATTAGTGCAAAAAATATTAGACACTAAAAAAAAAAAAAAAGCAAAAAAGCCAATGACTTACTTAGATATCCTTGCGATTCTTTCTGCATGGCTGTTATTGGGCAGTCTTTATGTGTTAACAACAACTGTTTCAGCTGTGCCACCTCGTTCTTCAACATAGACACTTCATTCTGGAAAGAGACATAGGAAAGCCATGTTGAGAAGACCAGTGAGTACAAACCTAAGGCCCCATGTACTTCCAATAATGAAATTGGCAAAATTTTCTGTTACTTCCGAATGACACTAAGAATATTATTTAACAGGATTCATCTGAAAATTTGTAGCTTGCCTTCCATTTGGGCCTCACATTTACCAGGGGCTTTCTGAAGAGACTAGGTTTTAACTCAAGAGCTGAGTCCTATTCAAAGTACAGTCCATTACCCTTTTGGCGACAGACTCTGGAGCCAGGTTACTTGGGTGGAAACCTCCACTCTAAATTTACTGGGTGACCCTAGGCAGGCAACATAGCCAAGCTGAGCTCCAGTAACTTTGTTTATAAGATGGAGATAAAAATAGCACAAGGTTCTTTGAGTCGTGAGGATTAAATGAGGTAATGCATGTAAAACACCCATAACAATGCCTGGCACAGACTAAGCTCTCGATAAAATTTAGCTATGCTAATTATCATCTTCACAGGTTGACATTCCATATGAGAAGGTGAATGTGAGGCATTGGGAAGATCTGTGCAGCTTCAAACTGAAATGCCTTCGGACTAAGCTGACTAATCTACCATCAGATCTCTCCAAAGTTCCAAATGGGCTATCGTTAAACAGAGCACATCCCTGTGCCTGATGTCCACTTAGCAGAAGGTGTGGAAATATATGGCACAAATGTTAGTCCTTAATGGATGGGATGAGGTCAGCCCAGAGGGCATGGGGCAATGAAGTTTTGGGCCATGACTGACTTACTTTGATTGGTTTCATTAACTAGTTTGGCTAATTTCAGTCTAAATCCCCCTCAGTGGCAGGGTGTTGTGGATTGTGTCTGTGTGTGTTTTTCTTATTTACTTAGATAGGTGCCTCAGATCCCCACTTTATGGAGTAATTCACGAAGACAGGGTCATGGCTTCATAGAATAATATACTTGGTACCATTGTCTACAAATACAAATGTAGACTAGATGGTTGGTTCCAAGGTGCTTCCACTTGATAAAAGTAAACTATAAACATAGCACTATCTCAAATAAGCCATTTACAGTTGGGATATATAATATTCTCCCTTTGGCCCATGTTCATTTGTGGCGGCCAGGAATTACACTCCACATGTAGACTTTAAAGAAACAAGCACACAGAAAAGGGTGTTTTAACATTGCTGTCAGTAAGTTGTATTTACACTTTCAATATGAACTTGGCTTTTCAGGCATGTATTTATCACCTAGAAAAGTAAATTTGGGATTCTAGAAGTTACTTAAAATTTTTTTTTGAAAATTATTTTAGCGAATACTTCTCATTTCCACATTCATTTGCAAAATACAATATAAGCAATCAAATGCTGAGTAACATAAACAGCAAAATAATAAAAACCTCATCTCCAAAGCTTTTCTCTTTCTCTTCCAAATTTTACCAAAAAAAAAAAAAAAAAAAACTTACCTAGAAAATTAAAATTAATAATAAAAAAATCAA